ATTTTCAAACCATTAGCTTAAAATTCCATTGGTTTTGTGCCTTTCTGCTCCAGCAGGCTGTACATCTGCTACTGCTGCTTTTGGGCAAGGCACTCATCCCCATAGCAGCTGGTTTTCATAGACCACAGCTCTTCCATCTGCGGGCACACCTGAAGAGTTCAAGGCACACGAACTGAGGGGTCAAAAGCAAGCATCTTTTGTAGCAGGAGACAGAGATGGCCATGGCCTTGTGATATGAGTCAGAAATAAATGCTCTAAATAGACCTTCCACTGCTTTCCTTATTAGGGGATGCTATTCAAGGAGATTCCACAGTCCCAAGGTAATTGTGCATAGTGACTCTTGTCTTTCCCATTTTGTGTATTTATATAAGCTGTGCATACTGAAAAGCACGTGTCCAATTCTTAGAACTTCTGTGGTAGTCACATAAGATTTACCATTTCCATCAAAGGTAACCCTGGCAAGAGAGGAGCCACCACTCTCCTTCAGAGCTGTAGAGTACATTCCCAAGCCATTTCCTATGGCTAGCAACTGTCCCTGTTCTGCATGGCAGGAGAGCACATAGATGACCTTTAACACCTGCCTGAATATGCTTTCTATTCGGTATCTATAAAAGCTGTGTATGTGGAGCTTTTTGAAGAGGTACATAAAAGAGCAACCCAGGGCTTTAGGGTTAACCAAGCCTCAGCTTTCTCACTCTGTAGTGCAGGATCATGTTCCCACAGCTGTCAGCTTCTACCCACAAAGCTCCTGTGCTCCAGAAGCTTTGCACTCTTGCAGCTCATTAGAGAGGATGTGGTTCTTAGATGCTATGCATGGAGACATTCTGACTTGAGGTACCACATGTAATAAGAGCATTGTTCCCCCCAGAGGGCCATAAGACACTGAAGTGCAATTGTTCTGATCGGCGTATTGGACATCTACCTCAAAATAGCACCTGAGTGGTAGAAAGCTCGCTTCTAATTGAAATGTGGCTGTTTCTACATGTAGTAAACAGGAGAATATTTCAATTCTTTTCTATATTTCTACCAGCAAATGTTGGAGACCTTATTCACCTGTTCTTTTAGAAACAGACATATTTTGCTGCCAGAAGGGAAGTACTTTCTCACTGCATAAGCTGCTTTGAACTGTTCTGGGAAGATATACATTAGGGAGATACACATTAGGACCTCTGTTTTCTTTCAGTTTTGGCCTCAGTTTGTAAACCTTAACAATATCAATCTCTTACAGTCTGTTGTCCAAACCTCTTGCTTCTAATGAGAAGCACCGGGTGTCGGGCAAGTTCTGCAGAGGTATTGTGTCGGCGATGGTGCGTTTTGAATGGCAGCTCAGGGTTCTGGAACAGCACTGTCCTTAGAAACTGCCTACAGCTGAGCTCTGCCAGTGCAAGACAGGGAGTAGATGTGTCGGATCTTCTCAGTGAACGGCGCTGTGGAAAGATGAAAATCCACCCGGGAGAAGCTTTAGGGGAACGCAGAGACAGTGCTGTAAGCAGCAGCTTGCCTTTCTGAGTGCTGGTGCATCTAGGTCAACACAAGATAAAAGGTCTGCTGGCTGTAAATTGGAATTTGTATAAAGCCTGCATCCTCAGCAGTGAAGATTCAGTATTCCTCTTAGTCTCTCAGAACAGAAATTCAGCAGCACGGCTCTAGAAAATAGTATAATAGTCATTTGCAAGAGAGAGCTGTTCATCAAACATCACCTGCCTATAGCAGTAGCTTCTGTAAGGCAATGAATGCCGGACTTAAATTTCTTTCAAAGAAAACACATTCATAATTAGCAAATCTTTGGCTATATTTTCTGCATAATGTTAAGAACCATGTTTTCAGTAGCCTTTGGACTCTGGTCTGTACTAACATAGACGTATCACTTTGCTAAACTGATGTTTGATCTAAAAAATGAGGCTGGGTTTAATTTTTAAAGCAAACGTTAGCAGAAGTGCCTTGTCTGTTTTGTGATGTGAGCCTGAAGTGAAGATTGTGTGAGAACTGTAGCAGGCAGGTTCAGAAATCCTTGGAGAGACAAAATGGGAGGACACTGGGATGCTATGATACGTGGAGCCCCTCGTGACCCACTTATTTATGGTGTTGCCTTGCTGGAGCAGATAACACTGTAGTGCTGAAAACTGACATTTTTCTGGGGATCTACCAGTGCTGCACATACACTGATTAAAAACAAAATAAATGCATTTTATTGTAGTATCATGAGATGCTATATTTCTGAGGCAACAGTCCTGTCTGTCTTTATGTCAGTGTGCAGGACCTTAAGTGCTGGAGAAAGAATGAACAGTCAAGAAAACAAGCCAACATGGACTTACCTGATTACTCCATCAAAGTTGTTTGATTTTTTTACTCCACTTGAGTTTTGTGCCACTACTCACATTCCATAGGCTGCAGCAACAGATTTCAGTGAACAGAATGTATTTAAGACCAATTAAATAGAAATTAGTGCAAAAGAGCTATGGAAAGTTTCATTTGTACCGTGGCTCAGCTTTATGTTACCTGGGAGTTAGCATTTATGTCAGTTTTATGTCTTAATTTAATTTAATTTTAATATATCAAGCGTGTCATTTGCTATTAAGCAATTGTACAGATATAGCCTCATGAAAGGACAAATAGAAAAGCTGGGTACAGGCAGGGAGATGAGATGGAGCCAGTTCAAGGGTATTTAAGCAAACTGGGGGCAACCTTGCAATTGTTAGCTACTGCTGTCTGCTCATTGGAAGGAAAATTAAAAGTTAAGCTTGAGGCTAGTGTGAGCACTGAGGGGGAGGAGATGATGACATGCTTCTGCTGAAGGATGTTTTGGGGTGTTTTTCTGCCCACAGGAGAGCCACACAGAGGAGCATGAAGGCGAAGAGCAGGTCCACGAACAGCCCCAGCAGCAGGAGGAGTACTGATTCACGCAGCGTCTCTGACAATTTTCATTTTGTGTGAGAACTTTCTTCTGGAGAATGGAACATGTGTGGCCTCAAACTTGAAATCAGTTCACTCCCAGTCTGCCATTAACATTTATGTACCATAGTGAGTGCCAGCCAACCACTGCATTCTGTACCCATACTTTGCCAAGATGCGTTTGCAGAAGTCTTCTTTCTGTGTATCCTCCCGAGAGGCTGTAGGGCTACATCACCTACTGTACATCACTGCAACTTCACCACTTGGCTGCTTGAGATTTGTTCTGCTCTTTAAGAAAATATATATATTTATTTTTTTTTTCTTTTTGTCTTAAGTATGATACACTTGTAACTTGTTCTAACATATTTATATTGGCATTTTGTGTGGCAAGAAGTACCGTACCACTAGCTGTGTCTCTCACTTTGTGGTGCTTTGGCATTTTCTCGTACGTCTGCCCTGGGGCATAAATTTGGTCAAACAATTGGAATAAAATTGGAATACAGTGGAAGTCATGTTCAAGCCATAACAATGAGATGTGTTGTGGAGGAAAATGCTCATGTTGCTCACGTTTGTTCCTTTCCTGCCTTTACCAAATGGGAGGCAAGGCATCTGTTTCACTAGGAGAGATTTAATACCTTGCGTTAGAAAGCTGCATGGTATGTTTTTTGGCTTAATTCTGGAGGACAGACATCCACTTCAGTTCTTCAAAACCCTCCCAGTTTCTTGACTAGTCAATAGACATTTCCTAGCTTTTCTTCCTTCCTGAGGAATTCTCTCCCAGCCTGCAGCTGCAGCTCCGCCTCCACAGGGCACAGTGCTGACGGAGGTGAAGAAATCTCCTTGACACAAGCGTAGCTGCAGGACACCATCTCTGCCATCACACTCGGCTCCACACCCTCAGAAGAGGACAAAGTAGGGCAACTGTTTCCTTCCGCTCTGCTGCCCCGACCACACAAGCATGGATGAGGAAACCAACCACAGAACCAGCCCTGAAAACCTCCCAGTCCCCTAGAAGTGGTGATGAGCACCTTGTGGGTGCTGAGGCTGCTTCTGAAGCATGAAGAGGAGTCGAGAAGTCCTCCTGGAGTTGGTGTGCCCATCCAACAGGCCAAGGGCACCGCACTTGGCTGAGTCCCCCAGTGAAGCCAGCATGCTGCACGAATACATCAAACCTGGAGGTACCTGTGGTGAGAGTGTTCCCTTCCAGAACAGTCCCTGCTACCCTGTTCTAAAGGATGGTATTTTATCAACAGAAATATCTTGACGTGTATAAAGCATTCCTTGTTTTTATTGTGAAACTGTGCATTCTGGTTGCTCTGAATATTTTATGCTTCGTATTCTTGGCCTCTCACTTAATTTTCTGAATTCCAAATTGTTCCTCTAGTTAAGCAGGTACTTGGAAGTCCCAGCTCAGTCTGCAGTCATTGAAAAGTTCAAAAGCCCATAGAACAGCAAAATCACCTTAGGTCTAAAGCTAACCTAACCTCAAGCTCAGGTTCCCAGCTGATGCTTCCACAGAAAGGGTTTTAATGAGTCAGCACCCCAACACACAGACACACACACACACACACGCATGTGGCTTTCTGTTCCCAAGAAATCTTTTGCAGCTAAGTGGCTCTGAGTTAAATGTGAGAACGCTGCTGTTGTGCTGCGCCGCAGGCAATATATAGAATACTGCTAGACATTAGAACAGGTATTTCTGTTCCTTTGATTACTCCCCCTGCCCCGCAGAAGAGTTTTGGACCATCCGGGTTGAGGGTTCCCTGGCTGTGCCTCCAGCACACCGGTAACACCAAAAGTGCTGCAACCAACAGGGCAGCGCTTCCCTTCCTGATTTTGATTGGGTACAAGTAAGATCTGGTGTATAAAAATGCGTATTTTCCAAATGAATTATTTCCAGGAATCACCACAGATGGGGGAATTGTCATTTTCATTGTATTTGTGTTTATTAGAACGTATGTACTTATTACAATTGTCATTGTAATAAACAGTAGTTCTTCATAACGCTGTTGAACTGAGGAGCGGTTGTCCTTTAACCCGGAGGGGATTTTGGAGGGGGGGCACACGGTGTGGGACCAGGCATCAACTTGGTTTTGCCAGCCCTGCTCTCTGATGGCCGCGGTTCATCCTGCTAGCGGTAGAGCAGGGGCATGGGGAGCGCTCCAACAGACGTCCTTCTGAAGGTGCCAGCAGTTGGGTTGCTGGGCTCCTGGTGTCTCACATCCAGGCTGCTGACTTTTCTCTCTTTGGGGCACGTACAAAGAACAACAGCGGCAGCAAGCCGAGCTTCGTGTCAGGCGGGTTCCATCTGCTTTTTTGGGCCTGAGGAGCACAGGGCTCCCATGCCGTGTCTGGGGAAGTGAGTGAGGCAGGCAGCAGTGGCAGGGCTGCACCTGCTGGGCGCTGGAAGCAGCTGTGCTGAGCAGGGAGCCGTGCTCTGAGCAGGAAGGCGTCCTCCTCCTGCCACCCCGTGAGTAACCCATCAATCTGTTATGGTTTTAATAGGCGCCTGTGATGACCTTTACTAAATAGCATACCATAAAGCTTCGCTTATATATTAAATGTAAACTGAAAGGAATGTAAACATATGTACTGTTAATTATAAATAGATAAGTAATGACATAATAGATTTAAAAAGTCTTATTCAGATGTATCGGGCGTTTCACATTATCCACAAACTGTCGCATGGTAGAGTAGATTTTTGTCTGAATATGTGAATAACTTGACTTGCGTTTATCTTTTTACATATTTAATAAAAAAATATATATGTTAAAATCTGTCCAGTTCTACAGGCTAAAATAATCCTTTTCTCTTTTTCAAAACAATTACTTGCTTCATTACTGACTGCACGTGGGAGCAGGAAGGAAGAGAGCTGCTTTAAAAAATTAACCTCATTTATTCTGTGTGTGCAAGTAGTATCTCTGCATGCACATACACGTGTATACCTGTGTACATGTAAACAGCATTCTTTTTTTATGGCAGATTTCCAACTTCTGCGTATTTAATCTCGTGTAACATTACTTCGTCTTAATGCAGCAAAAGCAAAACTTGAGGGACGCATGAGTACCCTGAGTGTGGTACTGGTGAGGCTGCACCTTGAGAACTGCGTTCAGTTTTGGGCTTCTCACTGCAGGAAAGACATCGAGGCCCCGGAGTGTGTCCACAGAAGGGCAGCGAAGCTGTGATGGATCTGGAGCATAAGTCTGATGGGGAGCAGCTGGGAGGGAGCTGGGATTGTTCAGTCTGGTTAAGAGGAGGCTCAGGGGAGACGTTATTGCTCTCTGCAATGACCTTAAAGGAGAGGTGGGGGTAACTAATGATAGGATGAGAGGTGATGGCCTTAAGTTGTGCTAGAGGACGTTCTGGTTGGATATGAGAAATTTATTCTCAGAGGAATGAGGCAGTGGTACAAGCTGCCCAGGGAGGTGGTGTGGTCACCATCCCTGGAGGTGTTCATGAACCGTGTGAATGTGACACTGAGGGACGTGGTCAGTGGGCATGGTGGGGATGGGCTGGTGGTTAATCTAAGTGGTCTTAGAGGGTTTGTCCAACCTTCATGATTCTGTGAAAAGAGTACTGTACGACAAAAGGCCCTGAAGCACGCAGTGCACTTCAAGTATTCAGGGATGAATCTGCTGCACCATACCTAAAAGCTGCCTTGTTTAGATTATAAGGCCACTTGTGAAGAAGAGGGGAAAACTTTATTGTAGTTATCAGGGCTGAGCTTTGGCAGCGCATGCAGTGATGCTGCAGCAGTCCTGCAGGGGTGTGAGCTGGGGGTGGACATCTCTGTGTCGTGGGTTGAAGCCACCTGGGTGTGTGCTACCACCATAGGGTCAGACTGAGTCCTCGAGACACACCCAGGCTTTAACCAGAGGGGCTGACCCTCTGCCCGGCCCCACTTTGGGAGGATTCTGGCAAAGGGGAGCTCAGCACTCCAGCCTGTGGAGCAGAGCCAGCTGAATCACCTTTCATAACCCACTGGGGATATGTATGTCTTTGGGCCTGTTCCAATGTGCAACAACACAAAAAGGAGGTAATGTGTTTTCCAGTTCACATAGCTGAAAGCTTTTAGACAATTGCATTGTTCTTAAGCTAAACTCTGGTCATCCTCGTGCCATTACCTGACATTGCAGAAATAAACCTGGGATCATACTGCTGTATGAACAGAGCGTTTTTATTCTCATTGTACTGGTTACCATCTCTGATGGTTAACAATTCAATATATACACTGTGCATTGCATTATCTCTGCTTATACTTGTCTTCACATAGACTGTAGTGACAAATTACTTTAAAAAGGAAAAAAAAAAAACCGCTCAATTTCCTTTTAAATTGATGTTATACTTCTCTTCAGAAAGAGACAAGTGCAGGCAGCTGTGACAGTTCAAGTTTTATGTTTTCATCAATGTAATATTTCAAAATACTCCAGTACAGTGCATTGAATTGTGTCAGTTCTGTGACCATTATTTCCAGTTATTTTACAATTAAATGCAAGACAGAAGGAAAAGGAAAACCTGTCCACAGAGCTCTCCAGTCCTATCACTTTCAGCCCAGGCATATTCCTGGGTTCTGTATTCATGTTCTTTTCTTGTCGGGTCTTCCTCCAGACATTTTTTATGGATATGTTAAAAATATTGAAATGGGTGAGACTTATACAATGATGAATCTTGAATCTGAATCAATGCTTAACTTCATCAGCCAGTGAGATTGCTGGGTGCACGCCTGCCTCAGGCTTGTAGTTCCCCTTCAAACACAGCATGCACAGGACTGTTGGTAGCATCCTTCATTAAGCAGCCATCAGCCCGGCTCTGAAAGAGACCTTGGGCACCTGGGGGGCACCTCTGTGGAGCCTCACACTCCCAGGGCACCATATGGGGCTGGAAGGGGACAGCCCACAGCAGGGAGGGAGGCTGGAAGCTGCTGCTCCTCTCTTGCTATTGAGCAGCCTCCCTCCCTCAGCAAAACCCCACGAACAAGGCCACCTGTGCTTCTGCCTGACTCGAGCCTTAAGCTTGCTCTGGTCTGTAGCATGGTGTTCATCGAGGTGGAGGGGTCCTCACTGTGCTCGCTGGTTAAGTAGTGCATCCTTCCAAAGCACAAGGTTTTTCAGAAGTTCATCTGGGGTTGCTGCTTTGTGAAGGGGGAAAGGCAACCCACAGGCTTGTCCCCAGTGCACACGTTATGATGAATCTAATGTTCAGTGACTCGCTAACTTCTTCTGCCCTGCTTCTGGTGGCTGAGATAGATCCCTGTTGGATACACGTGCTGATCAGTCACCCGTGTCCGTGCAAGAGATGTAATAAAGTGCTCTCCTTGAGGCAAGTGGGCAGGTAGTTTGGTTAGAGCTACAGGGCCACAGGGCCCTTTGGTGAGGGCAGCATAGGCAAAGAGATGGAACTCAGATTCCTGCGCCTTCCTCCAAGGCACTCAGAAAACCCCTGCAGATTATGGATGAAGTGAACAATTTACATCTGCATGCAAATGGTGATACTAAAAAGCAAAAAAAAATTCTCAATTCTTGTCTTGTTGTTTTTTCCATCATCTAAAACCACAAGAATTCAGATCAAGAACAGAAGCAAATAATTACTTGCTTAGCATTTTGTGCTGAGAGATAGGGCTTAAAAATGCTTGGAACATGGCTCATTTTTCATTGCTTGTTTTGAATGCTGCATGCTGAGTCGGCCTATCAGCAAGCACCCGTCAGGCAGTGAAATATGAGCATCTTTGCTGACCACATTTATCCTCAGCTGGTTACCTCTGTAGGGCATGCTGTTTGCTGCTACTTCAGTACCAACAGCGCACTGCTTGCTGCGTAGAACAGAAGCATAAAGGCAAGTTCCTTGGGTATGGAGCCCATGTTTTTGACAGATGAGGGTCAGGGTGAGGCTCATCCTAATGCCGGAGAGGAGGAAGATATGGCATGCTCATAACTTCCTGATCTCATTCTCTTCATGCATTCAGATAAGGTGAAGAAAAAGCCTGGGTGTACGTAAGCCCTTCAGGAGGCTGCATGGAAGAAATGAGTTGTGAGGAAACAAATATGGAAACAAAAAAAGACACAGATGTCTGAGTGGGAAGGATGCACTGGGTGGGTCTGCACTGTGGGGTCCCACTGGTGGACGGAGCAGGCAAAGGGTTATAAAACATAGTGGGTCCCACATGACACAGAACGGTAGTACCCAGGGCTTGGGGCACAGGGGCAAGGAGGAGGAAGACCATTGCTTCACAGGGAGATATGGCATTAGTGAAGAGAGCAAATAGTGGCAGCAGAACAGCCTGGTAAACACCTCTCTGCAGGACAGGAATTTTCCTCTGAGATGAAGCATTGTTGTCAAGCAGTTTGAGTATCTTGACTATTCTGTTCTTTGGTTGCTCTAATCAGTTTGATTCCTCTACTGATCACATCAAAAAGCTGGAAATCTTATGTGAAGTGTCACAGTCTGGTCACAGTGCAGGTGTTCACTCTTGGACACGTTTCTTCAGGGAAAAGATGTAAATGTTGAAGTGTTCGCTCAGCTGCCTCCCCTAAAGACAAACACAGAGGTCAGCTCAGCACATGTTCCACTGTTCAGCACCTCTCCTCTCATGGTCACAGTGGGAAGCCCTCAGCCCCAGTGCGCCTGGAGCCCTGCAGGTATTTGGGGACCCTCCTCTCGCAGCACACTGATGGGAAGTTACATTGCTACTGATCAGATTCCCAGATGGCATACATCGTGGCAGAGCAGGACCCAACCATTCAGTAGTGGATTTTGACCAGGTAACCCCATTCTGCTCCTCACAGAGTATCCCACATTGGTGCTTGGATAAAGTCTGCTACAGTGACAATATCTGCTGGTAACAGGGCCTCTTTCATAGCCAGGAGGAAAAATCCTGGTGTCCCAACAGCATATCTTAAATAAAAGAATGCTGAGCAAATCCCTTTTAAATTAGGTCTTTGCCATGCAAGATGTCTTATCTGGATGTGAACCCCCATTAAGACACTTTCCAAAGGATTATTTGACAATGCTTTCTAGGGAAAAAAAAGGGCATTAACTGAGAAAAAATGAATTACAGCAGTAATTCAGATGCCAATAAATGAGAAGCTGATATCTGGCAGACACAGAAATGTGCTGGGAAAACTGAATTAACTGCAAAACAATTTGGGTCTCCAGCTTAAGAAATGCCAATAGAAGGCCGTGAAAAGATGAGAAATTTGAGCAGCTGTTTTGCTCGTGGCTTCAAAGCAAAGTTGACCACCTTACTGTAAGAAAGTGACACATCTCACCTCCCACTTTACCTTCCAGCTTTTTTCACTCAAGTAACCTCAGCAGGAGAAAGAGCGAAGATGAGAGGGCATCCACGCCCCATTGATCAGCTGCATACAACACGTGAGGAACCGATAGCTTAACACTCGGACTCCAGGACAGCACCCCACCCAGACAGCACAGAAGTCACCTCCAGAAGCCCCTCACCCCCACAGCGTGCGCAGCTCCCCCCGGCCCCTTACCACACAGACGCCGTAGTGCACGTGTGCGGCCGTGACCAGCGCTGTGAATGCACCCAGCACAGCCTCCTCTGCCTGGCCCAGCAGCCCTGAGATAGCTGCGTAGACCACCAGTGCCAAGGGAAACAGGAACCAGTGCAGCAGCTCCGGCTGTGTGCTGCTCATCTGGCAGATGATGACTTTGCACTGTGGGAAGAAAGGCAGATGGGTGAGAAGTGCTGGGGCAGCCGGCTCACTCCTAACAGCCTGCATCCATTTTCTCTTCAGGTTGCTTTCGATGGGGAAAAATAGGCTAGACCTCAAAATGGAGCCTGTTTCTACAAAGGAAACTGCTATCAACAGCCTTTGAGCCTTGTCTGTGGTTCTTTAAGGTCTTTATTACAGGTAATTTAAAATATACACTTCTTTCAGGGAGGCAATGTTTTGACATGCTACACTTTATGAGCTGAAGTCTGGTTTCGCAAAAGGGGAGTTTGTTTGACACCTTGTGCTTTCACACAGCCTCATAAAGTTGTTATCCCAAATCAAATTGCCACCACTTAATCACTGGGAGAGCACAATGGTATTCTAATCACATGGCACATGGCATGGAGAGATATATTCTGGTTTGCTGTGCATAAGGGAGAGGAAGTTACAGAGAGAGTTTACAGAGAGAGTGGTGAGGTACTGGCACAGGCTGCCCAGAGAGGCTGTGGATGCCCTGTCCCTAAAGGTGTTCAAGGCCAGATTGGATGAGGCCCTGGGCAGACTGGTCTAATATTAAATGGGGAGGTTGGTGGCCCTGCATGTGGCAGGGTTGTTGGAGATTCATGATCTTTGAGGTCCCTTCCAACCCTGGCCATTCTGTGATTCTGTGAAGTAATAGGCCTCTTCCAAATTCTATTTTTCTATTCTAGCACTCCTTCCTATACCACATCAACCACCTGAGCAGCATCGCTTCTCTGTCTCAGTCATGGCAATGGGCTCTCTTTGGGGTGGAGCTGGGGCCTTAGGAAAGGGATCCCACCCAGAATGGCAGAAAAAATAAATGCATGAGCACATTCAGCTGAAAGCAGTTAGCTTCATTTTACTGAGACCTTGAACGGTCATGAGATCAAGATCAGATTTATAGAGTTAAATACTCAAGTGTTTTACCTGCTTGAGCCTCCTTAGGATTTTTGTCTCATGTACAACATTCCTTTTTGAGTTTTAGGAAAGTTTTATCCATTTAAGCTTCATTCAGAATTTGAATATGGTTAAAAACAGATGTCATGCATCCTGAAAACACTGAAAAAATATAAACCTTTCCCTGTGCAGTGCTTGAAATCCCATAAGAGCAGCAGTAGCAGTCTGAATGAAATCTAACGATAGGGAAAAAATAATGGCATGAACAATGTCCAAAAATGAAAACCTTTCAATAATGCAATGTGTCTGTACATATCGTAAACTTATTTGCTTACAGTGAATTATCAGTATGTATGATAAATGTTTCAAGTAGCATCAATTCTACAAGTCTTTTAGGAACCGTTCCATACGTTGCTAAAGCAATCTCTCCAATTCATGAATATAGGCTATAATTTCTGGCTGAATAATTGCACCTGTCCCAAGGTTGGTTTTCACATTGTTTTAAATCATTGTTACACCTTGTTAAATATATTACTCAATCCTTCATAAAGATTTACAGTGAGTATTTGGAGCAATGCAAGCTTAGTGCCAGCAGGGTTGCAGAACCTCTCTCGCCCCTCTGCCAGGCCAGTAGCTTTCCTTTCCAGGCCCTTCTACCCCTGTTTAACCAAAAATGCAGGGAATGCCCCATCTCTCAGCATGGGCTGGATGCCTTTCACCTGCCTTATTGGGGGAGGCCATCACACAGGTATGTGCAGAGCAGACAAGGACAAGCTGGCCTGTGGGAGCGCCGGGGGAAGATGCGCGTTGCCATGACAACCTCCCCTGCTGCAGGGAGCGAGGGGCTGGGGGAGGTGAGAGGAAATGTGGGCCCGGCTTTTGCTTTTAAATGTTAAACATTACAACTAATACACATACATTTTTTATGCCCGCTTTTTTAAATGTTATACGTTTCAACTAACATACATACATTTTTAATTCCTGTGGGCCTCTTGTATCACAGTAGATGCCTTGGTTCAAGGAAAAACAAGGCCTCACATTCAATGCGCTGCACTCAATCCCTTGTAAACTGCAGTCTATGGCAAAGCTACTGCTTCCAGCCCTTGTGATTCTGTGACTTCTGTGGGACTAATTCCTTACGATGGAGTTGTCTGTGACCCACCCTCAGGAATGTACATTTATAGAAGGCATTTATCAAGGAGCACAGTTAAGATTTTTTCCCATCCCTTGATACAGTTCCTAGAAGAGTGCTGCTTTCCCTTTGAAAATTCCCATATTCTCAAAGCTCTCTCTCCCAACACAAGGTACTTTGAGACTCCCGCTTTTTAAATGGGATGCAGTGTTGCTCAGACATGCTGTTGCAGATTGCCTTCCTAACAAGTCAACCAGTGCAATGCTTTAGGATATTTTAGTGCTAGCTAGGGGAACACCTTTCTACTTGGATACTGCTCTCTAGGCAGGAAGAGAGGCATGAGGCTTTGGCCCTGTGTTACCTGCCATGGCCCCACTACTGATTGTGCCTGGCTGCCCACACTATTACTTTGCTGTGGTTTATCACAGAATCACAGTCGCAGAATGGCCCGGGTTGGAAGGGACCTCAAGGATCATGAATCTCCAACCCCCTTGCCACATGCAGGGCCACCAACCTTTCCACCTAATGCTAGACCAGGCTGCCCAGGGCCCCATCCAACCTGGCCTTGAACACCTCCAGGGATGGGGCATCCACAGCCTCTCTGGGCAGCCTGTTCCAGCACCTCACCACTCTCTCTGTAAAGAACTTCCCTCTGATATCCAACCTAAATCTTCCCTCCTTCAACTTAAAACCATTTCCCCTTGTCCTGCTGTTATCTATCTTTTCAAAGAGTTGATTCCCCTCCTGTTTGTAGGCTCCCTTTAGGCACTGAAATGCTGCAATAAGGTCACCCCACAGCCTTCTTTTCTCCAGGCCGAATGAGCCCAGTTCCCTCAGCCTGTCTTCATAGTGGAGGTGCTCACTGTCACGGTCATGGTTTATGTTGCCTCACGGTCATTAAAAGGGGGAAACTGGAAACAGTGTGATGTGGCTTGAGGAAGGAAGTCCTTGGGCGCGGAGCCATCACTGTGCTCCTGCATCACTTTGCATCTTTCCCTAAAAGCTGCTGTCTGCAGCACAGCCTTATTCTGAGCAGTGAAGAGGAGATGCAGGACCATCTGATGTATGTGTAGCATGCACTAAGAGGCAGAACAGCAGGGGAAGACTGCAGACAACCCCTGCTCTTGCTAGTAAATCTGAGCCTGCATTCAGCTTTACTGTACTTTGATTCTGGATGTGCCAGTGCATAGCTGCTGTGTTTCTGGAACTAAAGCCTCCCTGAGTTGTTCATAAAACCCTGAGGCGAAGGGCAGGGGAAGAGCCTTCATCAAAATGTTCTTCTGTGGTTAAATAAATGCTGCAGCACTGTGAGCTCCCCAACCCAGCCAAGTGCTGTGATGTATTTTTGTAAGAAGGAGCGTAGCACAGAGGAAGAGGAGTAGTGTGGGCGATTCTGCTGAATTTTAACTGCAGTTCTGCTCCTTCTGTTTATTCACATAAAAATAGAAGTCTTGCTGACACAAAGCTATCTCTAAATAATACCATCACCACAAACATACTTACAGTAACATTTGAGAAAGTAACCCCAACCATCCATAAAAACAATCTTGGCTGCTTTGCTAATATGTTGCCTGGAGATAAAACCACCCAGACTGTAAGAAGCATGAAGAGCAACAGAGGTGACACGAGAGGTAGGAGTCCTTCATACAAAGAATCATTCTTCAGTGTTTTCCTTAAATGTGCTCTGCAAATAAATACAATGATTTTATGGAGTAAGAAAATGTATCCGTTCCATTTCCTCACAGTAACTCCAGCCTGAACTCAGCCCAAGAATTTGTCTTGCGACACAACTACTTGTACAAACATGTTAGGTACCTAAGCTTCTAAGGAAAAAGGGTAGGATATCAAAGGAAGATATTCCTGGACTAAAATTACACTTTTATTCACATAGCTTCTGGGCAGGTCCACTCTCTCATCATTGTCTGGCAGTGGACCCCTTGGCTTGCACACAGTGAGCTGTAGTAGCTCCAGTGTCATCAAATGCACAGCATGCAAACTTACTGTGAACTCAAAACGTGTATTTTTAGATGATTAACCTTCTAATGTAAGACAGGAAATGACTTCAGCCAATACAGAGACAGCACAGCTGAGCACGTGGCTGGCAGATATTGCTGTTACTTGGATAGAAAGGAGATGTGCTGGACAATCCCACAGCAATGGCAAAGTGCAGCCTAAAGGTAGGGGGTACCTTTTTTTGCTAACTAAAGTAATGGAAAATTTGTGATGCATTATTTCTTTGTTTTTCTTTTAGGATGTTTTAAGCTGCTTTTTAGAGATAGTACTAAATAAAGGTAGTGAAGGACAGTATTTTTTGTCAGCTGGGAGAATGGTAAATGTAGCATCAGTACCTTTTGCATCTGGCTTGCATTCTCACTCAGGCAGAACTCACTGAGAGGTTATAAAAGCAGTAGGAGCTTTAATGTACTAAAATTCACAATCATTAGACTATTTCTTCATACACAGAATTCACGTGAGCGATTCTGTGTTTGAAGTGTACTGGGAAATGTCCTGTTTAAAATCTCTGACTATCTGTGTTTATAAAAGCAGCTAGACAAAAAGCCAATAAATACTTTCTTCAGTCCTAAAATGAATAGTCTTCTGATAAAATAATGACTGAGAACAGACAGCAGGATGGAGAGAAAGAGCATTACTGGAAAACACAAATTCCTCACCAGCACATAGCCTGTGTGTGCATCCTTCAAGCAACTCCAGCTGGATGTTTAGAATTAGGTGCTCTTCTGCTTAGAGGAATGAAAAAGCTTGCCAAAAGGCCTATGTCAGATGATGACATGAGGAGGCAAACGCTAAGCAAAAGTCCCGAAATGACTGGAAAGAACATGGTGCTGCCCTCCTCCTCCAAGCCCTCCCTGATGCAAAGCCCCTCCTGCCCACAGCTCCTTATTGGGGGCGATGATGTGAGGGTCTCTTAGGAGCTCTGCATTACTATCTTAGAGTCTCTCCAAAATTGACACGCTAATTTTCATTGCCACTAATTCCTTAAGATAGGGAGTGACAGTCCCTCCTCCAGGAAATGTGGGTTCTGAGAGACCCGATGTGACAGGTGAAGGAAATGAGCTAGCAAATACTAGAGGAAGGCAGACAGCATTAATAAAAATAGGCCACTGGAGTATAAGCGAGCTGTGTATGAAATCACTAGGTGCAGCAAGCCAACTCTTAGATGTAATCACAGCTTGCCACCTGCCTAGCCCATATCTGATGGTAATTATCTGCAGCCTTCATACAGAGCGGAGTTCTACAGGAAGATCTGAAAGACAATAAACTCTTTATGGAGTGGAGATGATCAGCTACATAATTTTGCTTAAAGCGGGTAAAAGTCAGGAATCACATTTGGCTGCAAATAAAACACAGTGTTTATATCTGGAGGGCATTCATTGTTTTGCCATCCAGGAACAGTGTGAGACTGCCTGAGGAATGGCAAGTGAAAGGGAAACTAGAGAGGCTGCAGACATGGGAAAGAAGCCAGTCAGATGCCAAAAGTTGGACTGAAAAAAAAAGCTGCTGTACCATCTTAGGACAGCTGGCTGAAAGTCTACATTTATTTCTCATGTAACAAAACCATTAAATACACAACTAAACAGGGGGGGCTAGAACTTATTTAATGTTAATTCACTTACCTGTGGATGTTGTATAGTGTCTGTGGAAATGAAAGAAGTAAACTGAAGCCTGGAAGAAAAGAGAGATTGATATGCACTGATTTACAGTCATGCCAGGTTGATAATCCCACAGTCTCTCATATTACAAGAGAGCCAATGAGCCATTGTAGAAAATGACTTGGTATTCTAGTACTCATCACAGGATGCAAATGAAATTCAGAGGCTTTAGGCAATAACATAACCTTCCTTATTTTTCCAAGAGTTAGCTGCTAGAAGTAGTTGCTGATACAGATTTTCTTGTGCAATGAGTGACAAAAGCTGGAAGATTTTTAAAATGTGATGCCACGAATCAGTGCAATCAATTGTGTGCAATGCAGGTTCCTCTGCAGGATCCAAGAAAGATCACGGCCCCATTTTGCATGAACTGCTCTCTGTTCATGTAGAGAGAGACAAGTCTGACACCAAAAGCTTTCCAATGGAATATATAAGGATAATTAATCTTCAACAGCGCTGCCCACATTAGTGGGGAAATAATAGGTTTATAGTCCAATATGCTGAGATTCAATTAATGTGAGGCTTTGCTGAGACAATGGCATAAGAGAATTAATTTTCATGATATAGCCATCATTTTGATGAGTTGTTTTTTTAAAAAAATACAGCTGTGACCTTTCTGGAGCTCAGCTTTAACCAATAAAGGACAAGGAATTTGCCTTTGTTAACTCTGTGTCTCTGTGCCTTGCTGCTGCCGAGGACCCAGGAGCTGGCTGAGGACCCGCGTGGTGCCCTGTGCAACACTCCCACACAGAATGCATTCGTCCAAGGGGCAGAGAAGGACTCCAGCAAGAAGTGAGCATTCAAGTGCTTTTAAAAAGCAGTCAGCCTAACTAGGTGAGCACGTATGCCCTTCTTTACTCTGTGGTATCCTTTTTCTCACAGAGCTCTTTGGTTTTAGTTTCCCTGTATCAAGTACCTCTGCCTGGTCGGTTTGTTGCTCGGAGGTGGCTCTCACAGCATATATATTTCTGCCTGGCTTCTAGAATATAATACTTGAAGATCACCAAGGGAGCACTAAATGCACACATAATTAATATTTTGTAGCGGGGAGAATAACACAGATTTTGTAAACTTTTTGCTTTGCCCTGAAAATCTCACATGCACAGTCAGTACAACACTTTTATCTCATTATTAGAAATATTGCAAATTACAAGGAACGAGCACAAGAAAGAACCATTTCAAATTACTTAGCACCAGGGTCAGTGCGGAGTAGTGGAATCTCAAGAAATGTCAGTGTTTAGCATTCAGCCCTCATCAAAGACATACCTATGTCTTAGCATGGCCAGAGTGGCAACGCAGGAGGAGGAAAACTAAAAGTGCAGGGATAGTGGAGATCAGGATTGCTGGAAAACAAATAAAAAGGGATACAATAGATATTCTATTTCTGCAGTCTTTTTGATTATCTTTTAAAGAAGAAGAAACAGAGAATTGGAAAAAGAATATCCAGCCTGCAAGTAGTTTCAGGTATTGCATTTTCATGTGTTAACTTCTTGTTGCTTCTTAAAACAGATAAGATGAAGAGCTCTGCTTCTTTGCCATGGAGGAATCTCTGTATCACACAGCTGAAGGCTGTGCAACTGAAGTAACAGCTCAAGTATTTTGTAAATGTATTTACAAAATTTGCAAGCTTAGTGCCTTCAGAATGATCTGTGCTTCATGTGCACTGCAGTTATCTATGTTTTCTATTAGGCAAGAAGGGCTGGTTCAATAAAAGCTTCAGTAACGTACAGCAGTTCCAACATCTGCATCACATTAGAGCAGACATGAGACAAAACACTGACTCTTGAGGTTAAATCTAAATTTCCTGCTGCAATCCTGAAGTTTGATTTGTTAGGAGAAAAGCAACCAAGAGGAACAGAAATAGAGACTGGAACTAGAAATAGAATTCAAAGCCCAATGGTTGCCAGCAATTTGTTATTTTTATGAAGTGCCATTTTAGTTAGAAATAACACGCTGACCACAAACAGTCCCCAAGCTATAGCTGAAAGTCGCTTTTTGATTGGGACAGTTACAGCAGTCACTCCTCTGTGTTTTTAGACACCTTTCCTTTAACAAACGCAGAGGATGCAGTAGGGAAGGCAGAGGGTGTTCCCCTCTTTCTTACAGGATTTTCAAAATTCCATCATTTCCTACAACCCGTTGCTCTCCCCCATCATCTTTTAGCTAAGGAGGCCTGGCTAGGGGGCTGCTTTTGGTACTCATTAAGTCTGCTTTTTAATTGGCATTAAGAAGCCCTTTGTGCCTGGGAGCTAAATTACTGCTTCCGCATTGCTGCCATTCCCTGCTGGTCCAGGGAACAAAAGGTGCAGCCTGGAAAGCCACCACTACACTGTCCCTCAGGCGCTGGGCCAGCCCTGCAATGCCCAAGGGATGGCCTTGGTTCTTTCTTCTTTTTTTTTTTAATAGCCTATTTTATTTTAAAATCATAACAAAGTCAAGCTTAGTGCATTAGAAGTTTTTAACACGCTACATACAATTCACAGATTCACAGAATTGTAGGGGTTGGAAGGGATCTCTAGAGATCGTCGAGTCCAACCCCCACATGCTTGTTAAAAATATCACTGCTGTTGTAGTATTTTTTCAGTTTTACCTTTAATATCTTCCCCAACTAATTTTAATCCTGAATCCCAAAGGTAAGAAAACAGCTCTGCTCTGAAGGCAGAAATACAAAGCACAGATGGGTGGCACAGATACACACAGGGAATTCTTGTGTCACGCTGGGCATCAAGCCCAAATCCTGGGATTTAGGCACAATCCTATGCTCAGTCCTGAGCCTTTCAATATCTTGTCTCATTTTTCACAGAAATAAGCATTTGCAAAGCTCTTTATCAGGAATTATTTTGTCCATATAATAAAAAAACAACTACCAAAAAAAAAAACCCCAAAACCGAATAACAATGCATTCAGGATTACAGATATGTCAGAAATAAAGGCATATCTTGTATTCCAAATGTGAGCAAAGATGTGTATGGAGATTTATATATCCATAAGCATACAGACAGTTATGTACTCAAGCATATGCATACTTATATATGTGTGAAAAGGCCAAAAAGATCATTCCCTCTGTTCTAGTGACAACTTCAGATTTCATTTGTTTCTTTCAAATTCAGTTCCAAAACTGCTGGAGTGTTAGTTGTGTTATACTTCCGAGTGAATAAAAAACAAAAACAGAAAAAAAAAACAGCAAGAGATGGACAGTGCAGTACATTCGTCCACTGTTAACCTGGCAGTAATGGCAGACTGGCAGTGACGTATTTAAGTTCACTTACACAAAGGCATCTTCAAGCATGCCCCAAACCTCCTGATGGCATGAAGACTGCAAGGCTTATCTCACCATGGCACGGTGCAGCCACTTGGGTGACTTGCTTGTTGTAGTGAAAGGGAGGATGAGTCCAGAAACAGGCAGCTGGCACTGGTTTCAGCTCTACAAAATGCTCTTACAGTAACCAGCAAAAAGACCTAGCCTGCCTCAGGTAGCCAGGTTCCTGAATTCACCCAGCTACAGAGATTTTAAGCAATGCTAAATAAAATAACTCTAAGTAGGCAGCCAGAACGCCTAGGAAACTATTTTTAATGAAATAGCTGCTTCAAAGAAAGAGGTATCTTAGCTGTTTATTCTCTCCACACCTATTTCATCACAAAGTCTTCAGGTGGGTACCTACCATTCCCCCTGTCCTCCCCCAGAACAGTTCCTGGAGTGATGAAACCTCCTCCTCAGTGAAGAGGCCTGCACAGACCTTTTCCTTTACATATTGCAGAAGTTCTACTGAGTAAAAATCAACGCTCTTAAATGCTGAAGTTGCATTTCAACCTACAATTTAAATACCATCACTTTCCTCCCTTATTCTTCATTAGCTTATTCTTCATCATATATAATGCTTGTTTCAAAAGAATGGAATAGCAAGTACTTCATTTTCCACTGGGGAAAAAAAAAGATTGAAAATATTTAGGCCTCAATGTAAGCTTGAAAAATTCTTTAATTTTTTTCCACAATTTTTTTCCAAACGTCTTCCACATTTAGAGCAGCCAGATCTATAAAACATATCTTAACACACTGAGCAGTGCCTGAAAGCCAGCTTCATTAAAAGGTGAACATTCAGGAGCATTTCCAGCAGGAACAGCAGCTTTTTGTGGAACTGTGTGGCTTTCCCACGCATTTCCCAGGAAGAAAACTCATAACTGGTGCACACAGATTACTGCATGTTCAGTTGTCCAGTCTACTATAAAATTACATTTTACTATTATATAAAATTGCAATCTTATAACAACTGAGTAAGTGAAGAAAACTCTTAAACTTATAATTTTCAGACTGAATTGAGCCTGTAAATTCAGAACATATTAAGTAATTTAAGGACAGATGAAAAACAAACCTGGACACACCTACACACTCTCAAAGGATTTTACATGATTAAGAGTACTGTGTAAACATGAGTTCTGCGTTCGTGCAAAAAGTTGATGTAAGTTTGGGATGTTTAGCATCTAAGACACTGAGTATAAAGCAGTAAAGGGATGAATTTATCATGCTTACTGATTTTATAGCTTATTTTCAAAGTCTAAGAACACAGTGCATTAATCTCTTTGAACTGAGCTGCAAGGTAACAATTAGCATTTGGAGGGCTTTAGTATAGGCTGAGAAATTAGATTATGGATGCAGTTGCTGCTTTGATGTAGTCTTGTTTAAAAGTATGGATGTTTAACTTTCTTTTTCAGCATACAGCAAGAATCAAGCACCTGAGGAGCATTGCCCTTAGTTGAAAACTCAAGGCTGGCTACCCGAAGGTGCCTGCCAGGTGAGTTCCCTTGTGTGACTTCCCTTCTGGGGCTCTCACTGCCTGTGAAATGAAACCATGCCATTGTTACAGTCACCATCATGGAATCAACACCATTGATCAACACCACTGATCAGAGGTTCAGGGTTCACCCCAGAGTTTCAGGGTGTAATTCTGCCACCAACACCCAGAGCTCTTGTTTTCTGGGTTATTGTGGCTATTTTGGATGAGTTACTCCAGACATGAACTTCAGTGCATTTTATGTAGGCCTGGAGTGACAAATGAGTATTTCATACCCTTTTCTTCAATAAAGCCTTGTACAATCTGTCACAGCAATGCCTTAATAAATGGTAAATTGGTGTCAGAGCAGTAGAAGTCAACTCATGTTAACTACACTTTTTAAACAAGGCTAGTCAACCTGTAGGAGTGATAGCATTTAGAAAACATATAACTGAGCATTTAATCACTTAATTGTCCAAAAGTGAGGCAGAACAATCAGCTACTTTGCAATGGGAATTATAGAAAATCAGTGGAGAATGACTTATTGGCATGAAGCAGAAAAAAAATACACAACTAATGTTTTTAAGAAAGAAAAATTTCTTCCACCATCAGAAGTGCATTTAAGTTGTCTTTGTGATCAGTGCCTTGCACTGCTATGAAGGCTCCCAACATCACCAGTTTTCCTTGGGAAAGCAAGGTGTCTCACTTGCAACTGTGCCCCAGAGAAAAGGTAGAGGGCCACGTCCAGATTTCTCCAGCCAGAAGAAATCTGCCCGCCTGCTGTGATGCAGATCTACTGAATGGATTTACGTGAATAAATGTCCTGTTAAGGGTTGGCCTGCAGGACCTGGAGATATATTCAAATGAATAAAATATCAGGTATGTTTTAACTTTAACACTGACTTTGACCAAAAAACCTCAACTAAAGAAATGCGTGTTTCAGATGATGGCTGACCATGGTTTGACCATGGCCTTCTAAAATTTTGTAACATGGAATAAGGAGCAGACTGTTGTATAATTGCCAGCTGCATGGACTTCTCTGTCCTCCTTCAATCCATAGGACATTGTTTAAGAAATGCTTTAGATGGATAGCTGTGCTTTCTCACTATTGCAGAATTCAAATACTTGGCATGTTTTAAATGTGGCTTGATCCAATCATTAGTTTTTTTGCTGTAATGTGTTTTCTTTTACGCACTTATTTCCTACTTCATGTACTTAAGTAGCTCAGAGAAATGAGCAACCTCAAGGCACACACACTCCTTGCAGAGTACAGGACCCAATCCAGTACACACTGTAGGAAAAAAATCTGAATCCTTTGGCTCCGTCTCTAAGAGAAAGTTCAAGTTTCTGATCTATGACAGCTGTTAGTATTCCACTGAACATTTCATGTTCAAACCTGTACTTTGAAAATTTGTATCAGCTTTGCAACAAGCTTCGCGAGCCAGATCTGACTCAAATATGCCCTTGGGTTTGGATGGCAGAACTGCCAGCACCATGTGCAACATAGTGGTGAAGCACAACATATCCACTCTATGCTCTGCTGATCTTTCAACCACAAAGCATTGCTCTGTAATGGCAATTAATACTGAGGAGGAGTAGGAACCTTTCTCTGCATCTAGAAGTAGTTTTTCCAACCTGGCACCGTAAGGAATGAGGCTGATATGACTGATAACACATTGCCTGTTCAATTCTGAACAAATTTAATAGGTTGAAAGACATTTCCTGTAAGTTGCCTGGTTTACAGTCAAGTAAAGGAAAACAGTTACACGGATGTTTCCAGTGAGGAGAAGACTGCAGCCTGAGCTCAAATTTTATTGCACATTATAAAATCTATTCCACAGAGAGCTAGTATGTGTGTCTTGAGTATGAAAAAGCTTCACGTACCCTATCATAGGTCATGTAATTGCAATGTGAGACAGAAACCATAATCAATTAGTAATGCTGCTCCTTAAACTACTGACGTTTATCTGTCAATTAAAGTCTTCGTATGAAGTCTATAACGTCTTTTGGCATCATTTTTTGTACTAGACTGCATGTAGCAAACTGATTGTTTTAAAATGCTTATTGTAAATATTTCATATGGCTTTCAACCTAATAAGGCAGTGACAGGGAATGCCTGGTATTTGGGGCATCCTGGAGGGGTGAAAATAAATGATGGGTCTCACCCCAGTGGTGCCCTTTGAAGAGACCCTCGTTAGCCAGATAATGCTATGGGACAGTTGTGGTTAAATCCCAGTGGGGCTTTTGGAGTGTCATCCACAAGAGCTTTGCTGAGAGCAGAAGTAATTAGTTCCAGCTGAGCACACAGGCACATAACTTTAGAAAGGTCTAGCTACTTTCATGCTAAGAGGGGAAAAAAACAAGGTATTTCTGTCCAGAAGGCAGGAAAACAAAGGTATTTCTGTCCAGAAGGCTCTGGAAATGGAGAACAGCCTTTTTTATTTTGTTTGGTGCTCAGCTAGGTGTGTATCAGAGGGATAAGGACTGGAACTTCAGGATGGAATTGCATTCACTGCCTGCAAAAATTACATGCTCCTAATCACTGGGTAGCAGAATTCCCACAGAACACTCTGCAGAAGTTTCTCAGCTTCACAAGGAAGGCCTCTGAGGGCACTTTTCAGCATCCCAAGAGCTGACCTTCCTACAGGTGTTCACTGTGCGCTAGACAGTTCCCAGGGACATATGTAAAGCTCTCTCTTGGGAGGTTTTCATAAAGCTTCTAATCTAAACACCGGTATCGCTGTGGTTTTTATGTATATCTTTTTGTGTTCTGGCACCTGATAAAAATTGCATTTTGGGGGAGTGAATGTCACCTGGTGATACCGCAGCTTCCACTGAGGATGTGCTTGGAGTGGAGTTCATCCTCAGGTTATATGTGGGCTCTTCTTTTTTTTTCTTTTTCTCCGAGAAACTCCAGGAAACGCATCTGAAAAACTCCACTCTTGTGCTTCTTGTTTGGATTTCTTCCCACTATAAAAGGTACTAGCTAAAGCCCAGCTGTGCTCAGAAAAGTGACAGCTCAGCAGTTGAACTCCTGTTGTGTACAGAACAGTAAAAGCACAAAACTGCAGGCACACTCTTGGCCGAGTATTGATGAAGCAGACGTGCAGGTCTATTGTTAGAGTGAGCACTGGTGACTCTTAAATGCCATCAGATGGTTAAGGATAGCAGTTAGGGCTTAAAGGCTCCTCTCAGGGTTCTGGGAAACAAACTCATAAAAAGCTGCGGAGGCCCTACTGCATTGCTCTGGGTTTTGAGTGGCCACAGAGGCAGGGAGCTGAGCGTGCTGCAGGGAGGTGACCTGAGACAAACAGGTCTGGCCAAGCAAGGTGTGCTCTGCCCTTGGTGTGGGCTATATCAATGCTTTTTCAGTAGGCACAATGGGGTCCTGGGGTTTACTGCAAGCTTCTAAAAACTTGATATATCCAGATTTACAGCACACAGTTTATCCAGTGATAAAACACTTTAAACACTGTTGTTGAACTGGGATTCATACATGTAACAAAGCTGAAGTGTTTTTTGGATCAGAATGATACTAAGTATTGCATACTTTACACCTCTATTAAAGGCATAATTGAGCTGCAAAAGTTGCCCTGCTAATGGCATTATAGACAAAGTGCAAGAAACAATATTTTCAAAGATATGTTTTGGCTCTCATTTACTTCTCCTCTGCTTGGAACGATGATGGAAAAAGTACTCAGCTCCCTGCTTATGAATCCAGCCATACGACACTAGACAGAAGCAGTGCTTCTTCCTAAATCTAAAGGAACATTCCATCAAACTTCACTTTGCAGTAGAATATGAAAAAACATGCTCAGTTCTGTGGATTTTATCATGCTGATGTGCTTTCCTAGCACAAATCTTCCTAATACATTGACTGGTTTGAGTTAAACCTTCACCCATGATTTCCCAAGTGGATCCAGCTCCTCACTGAGGCGGCTGCCATGTGCCTTGACAAGAGGAGCAGAAATGATGTACATAGTGTGGATGGAGCTCTGCACTTGCAGACCGCAGCAGCACAGCTCACTCAGAAGCCAGCACCCATCCCTGGCTCTGCAGCACGGCTCCCAGATCACACGGAGCTCCCTCTTCCCACCAGAGGGCATTTCCTCACTGCATAAGGCCAGATTGATCCTTGCATTGCCTACCAAAAGGGCAGCCACTGTTTTTGCCCTTTCCTTTCTTCCTTTTTCTCTGCGCTCACAAAACAGTCCTGACAAATAAAAAGACTGCTAAACCTCAGTCACGCAGGGTCAGTTTTAGATGCTGCAGACATCTCTGCAGGCAGGTGACAACACGAAGCTGTGCAAATGCAGCAGGTTTAGAAGTACCCCAGGAAGAACTCTGGCAGCCCCTGGCTGCAGTTGGAGCTGGGTGATAGCCTTTACTCAAGTCCTCTATCTGGCTCAAGGCCTGAATGCATTTCTGTCTGTCTTGCCTGTGCCAAACCCTTTGTTTTGTGCCCTCTTGTCATTACATGTAAGTTCATATAGAAATCCTGGAAAAATACATATGCTGATGTTGTCACCTTCCGATCAACGCACTGAAGCATTCCACATGCACACCTTTGTATCTAAGACCGCTGTTCTAGCTCATTGCAATGTAACTCATGTTCTTAATCTAGCTGTAGCAGCTGGGAGGTGCTGTCTGCTTGCTTCAAGATACACTGACAGCGTCAATGAGTAAATTGGTCACGGCTGTGTATGAAAAATGTATACTTCTGGTCTGAGAGTAATTCTAAAAACAGAGCTTAGAAACCATCTAGATCTACAGCTGTGCCTCCATTCATTATTTAAATAATACCTTTCTTCTTTCTATCCGTGATGTTTTGGATCACACTGTGCTGCAGGCTGAACTACTTATCTTTTACCGTATGTAAATGTGAACAACATTTTACCTGACTGATATTAGAAGTTTGTGAGTGTTCGAAAACAGTCACTAAAGCACATTGATCTGCATGTGTAACTAAGGAACAATTTTTGTGTTATTTGTATACAACAGATATGAATTCAGTGAGGAAAAATGTTTCCAGAGTGATCTGCCAGCTTAAGTTTACCAGTAAGACTCCTATTAATCACCTCTATTCATGTCAGCTTGGGACTGGCCAACGCTTACGAAAGGAAAACGAAATTTATAGGCAAAATAAGGAATATCTAATCAAAGGAATTAAATAACGGTGAAGTTCTCCATGGATCCAGGCACTTACCTATAAGCAAGATTACTAATACATCTGTAATGTAATAACCAAACAGGAAAGGCTTCTGCCAAACTTCCACACCAACAATGCCGGTGAGCAGATACGCTGTTATTAACACCTACAGAAAAAAAGGATAACATATTTTTAATCGTTTCCTCCTAACGGCACAGAATTTTGCTTACCATCTCAGCACAAAGAGAAATACAGCCCTGCTCTCCACCTGGTGCTGGCTGCCAGCAACCCTGCCAGCCACTGCTAAGTCTGTGCTGTCTGGTTCAGTTCCCTGAACTGTTCTGGACCAAGATTAACAGTGAATTATGAAAATTCACTGTACCTCTAAGTCCAAGCAGTCACATTACTTGTAATGCCGGTGAGGAGACTGGGTATTCACTTATTTTTTCCCAGGTAACACTGGGAAACTTCTACTTATTCAGTACAGCTTCTCACTCTGTGATCACAAATATTTTCCAGCCTTACCATATGATAGATTTTACTATCTTTTTCTTAGCTTGTTTTTGTTTTTTTTTTTGGTTAGATACAACTATATTTGACTTCATTCACTTCTCTGTATCTAAATTCAAGGCTCTTGCCCTATCATTACACAAATTTTAATGAATTTTATTGAATGGGGCATCATAGGATTGCATGTGCAATTGCCTGTGTGAGAACCAAAAGGAGAACAGCAGAAACAAGAGCAAAAGTCATGTTTTAGGACTCTGAGAAATATTGGTCTAAATGAAGGATGTATATAATGGGTTTTACAACCCACTACAACAGAGGTAACGTTTGGCTCCCTAAGGAGACTGCATTATGTTATCCATAAGACATGACAGACGAACTCTTAGCTCCATCAGATTTGAGGGCAAAACTCCAGCTGGCTTTGACAGAGCCTGAATTTACCCTCACACGTTGCACTCTGAACAGATATTTTTGGCGAGCAATAAAAGAGGAGCTTCGGTATTATCCGCTATTACAGTCAGTATTTTTGGCAGAACACTCACGGGTATCACTGTCAGATGTCAGCACACCTCTAGGAATGGGAGCGCTGAGGCAACGTGCCGTATGGGGAATCCCTCGCCCTGGGATTGGGGGATTCAAGGCTCCCAGGCTGAGGTTGTCTCTCATTTAACAGATGTTGTGGAGGAGAAATACTCTTTGGCTTCAATTCATTGGTATTTTGGTTTCTAGAGAATTGTAACCAAGCCCCTACTATCACTGGAATCAGTAGGAATAACCGCTGTGAATTAATTGCAGCACTCTCCAAGACTTCTTTTAGAATCCTGGGCAATGAGAAGCTGGCTGTGTCCCTGGATCTAAGCTGTGCTAGCAGAAATTGAAGACTGTCAAAATTATTAGACAGAAACTAAGTATGCTAAAAAGCTGTATGTATTTTAGACTATTTTAAAAGGCATTGATGGTAAAAAAAATTAAAAAAAAAAAAGAAAACTAAAATGTGCAGCAGTGTTCTCAAGTGCAACTGTGTAATTCTACCTAAGAAAAGACAGACAGCTTCTTACTGATTGGACTTAGTACTTTTCATATATAAAGCTAGTCATGAGCAAATAAACATAATTACAAACTTTCATAAAATGAGAATTCCAAATTAAATAATAGAAGTAAAGATTGTATTGCAAGTCAGTGTCAGACATATACAGTATTGGGTTCTGTGGCTTCTGATGAGGCCAATTCCAGGTTTGTGAAGATCTCATCTAAGAGGAGGCAATAGCACTTAATGGAGATAGAAATCTGAAAACAGATGGCATTAATTTGTAGGTTAGTGTGTTTTGCATACAGGCTCATTGGGTGTGCTGAATTATACAGAAAAGAAATTCAAACATTTTCTCATCTTTGTTGAAACTGCACTGGATACACTTATGAATTTTTATGATTCCACAAAAAAAATGACATGAATTGTAGTGTAATATTCAGTGTCACTAGCATATTACACCAAGATTAATTGCTCATGCCTTGGAATACTTTCCATTAACACAGTACTCACACTGAACATCTAGGGAGTACAGTCACATAAAAGCAAGTTTTACACTGAAAGTAAGTATGGTATTTTCCTAAAATAACAAAAATTAATGATTTCCCACAAGTGATTCCACTTTTTAGCTTTAGTATGATGTACATTTTTTCAATTTTTCTTTTTTTCCCGGTATTTATTCTTTCAATAAATAGTTGAAGGTGGCATAATTAGCACATGAAAATGGTTTTTTATGTGTGTTAAAGAAGCTCATTTTGCATTTAGACACACGATATGTGGCAGGCGAACAACAAAACACACTGAGGGATTAATTAACCAAGTAGCATTTCAGTGGAATCATACTCAAGTGGTTCAGAAAGAAGGGATCTGATGCAGGATGTGGGCTTTCCCTTCTATCCATGATATCACCTTGCTGTCACTAAATCTCACAGTGCTCAGCCTCCTCCTTTAGGAACCAGGCAGAAGGAGAAGCCATCATGGTTCTTCCAACAGTATGACACAGAATCGATGAATCATTTGAGTTGGAAGGGCAGAAACTGTCAGGATGACACAGTGCCAAGAGGCTGCTCCTCTCTGCTTGCAAGGGAATAAGCACAAGGCAGCCTTGTGCCCTGCTCCTTGATGCCAGGCCCACTAACATTCAGCCCTCTGTCTGACTCTCCTTCAGACTTATCAAAGCTGTATCTCAGGTTTACATGCCATAGTTCCCCATAAGGGGCTGTTTGCTGTAATCAGAGCTAATTGGAGTGCCAACTACAGTTCAGCTGTTGAAATTAGGTTACCAGTTCTGATGAGTCATCAAATCACAGAAAAATGTGATCAGCAAAAGTTCCACAAATGTCTCTACTCGTAACGAGATAGTTTTTCCCAGTGTACAACAGCTCTTTTAACATCAAGTTAATGCAGATCCAGTCAGAGGACCATCCGTATTTATATGCAATGGAGCTGATTCAGCAGCAGTGTTCTGTTCAGGTTGGATATTAGGAAAAATTTCCTCTCAGAAAGAGTGCTAGAGTGGATAGGAGCTGGAAAGGGCTGCTCAGGGAGGGAACTGAGTCACCATTCCTGGAAGTATTCAAGAAATTATTTAGATGTTGTACTAAGGGACATGGTTTAGTGGGGGAAATAATGGTGATGGGTGGACAGTTGAACTACATGATCTTGGAGGTCTTTTCCAACGTTGGTGATTCTATGATTCTGTGATTCTATGACTCCAAGTTACTTATCTGTACACTTATATTAAAAGCAGTACTTCCTGAGTTTTGTAACGATAATGAAGCCCAATGTTCCTGGACACCACACATTTTAAAACCTGGAGCAGAGGACCAGACCACCTGGATTTCTGGCATGCCAATGCAATCGCATCGTACTGCCAGTGGAATCATTTAAGACAGAGCACAGGGGCATGCTCATGCAGCAGCTCAGCTAGGAATGCCATGTAGGAAATCGTGAACATGGGAGCAGCCTGAAAACAGCCTGCAAGTGCTGCCTCACCCTCTTCCTCTGAATGTGACTGTGGCAACATCTGTGGATAAGTTGAGGGGGAAAAAAAAAAAAAAAACAAAGCAGCAAGGAAAGCATTTTCTTTCTTGTTTCTGATTAGCCATTTGCTAGGGTCCTTGGTATCCAGTCACTGGAGGTGTTCAAGGCCAAGTCAGATGGGGCACTGGGCAACCTGATTTAGCGGTTGACAGCACTGTGCAGCGGGGGGGGCTGGAACGGGTTGATCTTTGAGATCTCTACAAACCCAAGTGAGTCTATAACACTGTGATTTTATGAAGAGTGCACCCATCATCCAACATTGCTGGACCAGTGTGAAAAACAAGAGCAAGGCAATTTCTATTACAGAATTAATGTCTTTCACTGGACTACTTAGCACAGCCAGGAAAAAATACATATGGGTCTTTCTGATGTGCACAATATTTGGTTTGAACTAATGTAAGAAATACTACCTCTATCTACACGTTACATCTTGTTTTTTTGCTCACAGACAATCACAACTACAAAAGCTGATTTTAGCAGATGGAAAAATGGACATGCAGGTATTTCAATAGTACAGTCTACCACCACTGTTGATAATTGTGCAATTAAGCATAAAAAAATCCTTACATTTATGTGCTTATTATTTTGACTGTAAGTTAATCATCAGAGAAGTTGCTAGAAAGAAAGCACATAGGACAGCAATTCCGCATCAAAGGGGAAGAGGAAGTAACACTTGTTAGCACCTTGCATCCAAGATAATCAAAATAGTTTACAAACTCTACTGAAATTAAGCCTCACCACAAATCTGTGAGGCGGGGAAATGTTATTACATTATTTCCCAGATGGGAAAGCTGCTGCAGGGGCTTAGGTCACTGAAAGGCACTGGAAGATTTAACAGTACGGCTTCATTAGTTGATATCCACTCCCACATTTAAGCACTCACACAGTTCTGATGAGGTTGCAATCAAAAAGATCTTTCTAAATGTGCACATATTTATCTGCAGTGATCATCTAAGCAACAAGTGAAATTGGTTTGAGAGCAGCCGTTCATCTCCGGCTGAAAGGACTTCACTGGGAAGCCTTACACAGATACAGCAAAATCTCACAGACCAGCTGGCTGCCTAATGTCTTAGTGCTGAGCCAACTTCTTCTCCCAGAACCTCTTTCCTAGGAGATGAAACAGATGCACCACAGCTGGACCACCGTCTCCGAGCTGTTCTCAAACCACTGGATTTTGATTATGTTTACAACAATACATCTGCAGCCGTTAATTCAAATACTGTATTTCCATTAACACACATATTTGAATGTTTTTCAGACTTCTTTTCAATTCTGTCTTGTTGGCTGTACCTTTTATCCCATGCCTGGGACAGGAATCTCAGAATTCTGGGAGTATCCTCTTCAGGCTGCAAGAGCCTGGCTATCTGGCTATCTCAGAGACTAGCCAGCCCCAAAATCCAAGCACAGTGCCCTTGGCAACGTGTGATGCTGCTGCCACTGCTACCACTCATTTGCACAGTGAGATCACTGCAGCAAGTTGTGACGTGTTTGTGAAGATGACCATCTTGTGATAGGGCTATAAGCTGGGCAAGAAGTCAGCTGCAAGCTGGCTGTGGACTGATAAATTATTTGTGTTTCTGAATCACGTTTACATAATTCCCAAAGAATTAATCTAACATTTTTCAAGGGTGGAAATCACCTGACAACAGTGAATGCTCACTGAATAGGTGCGATGCTGTTTATATTATCACATTCAGTGTAAGACCTAGGAGAATTGGTCAGGTCTACTAATGTACACCTGTGTAATTACTTTAATAAACACTGTTTGGACTAATTTGCACAGTGCCTGAGAACCTAGTTTTGGTGGAAAAATTGCTTAAGACTTTGGAGAGCATAACAATTTTTGTTAATTTCACAAATCAAAGGCAGCTAAATGACATTCTCACGCATGCCATCCAGTTGCTAGGCTTGCTGCAAGTCTTCTTTTTCCTACAAGGCAATGAATCCCCGATGCTGACAATATGCTTGAGAATGTCCTTTCTTTCCAAATGCAGGAAAGTTTTCTAAATTACTTCTCGGGTTATTCAATTTCACATTCAAACTTTTAGCCAAATACATTTGCCTTGAGCTATATTTTTTTCTATTTCAGTAATATTATGAAAACACTAACATAGTTTAAAAAAAATAAAAATAAAACAGGAATGATAAATACTTACCACTTGGCTTAAATCGTATCCCCAAGGAAGAAAAAGAACTCCTGTGTTATATTTCTCCCAGTGTGAGCACATAAAGTTAAACAAGACAATGCTTAAATACATATACATTGTATATACAGAAACTCCAGTCTTCCCATTGTCCTGGGAACAGACAGAAAAAAAAGAGAGTGCAAAAATGGAGGTAGCCCAGCTGTCCAGCCCGTGGTCAAACAGTTCTCCCAGTGGACTACTGGACTGAGTCCTTCGAGCATGCTTCCCATCAATGGAATCTGAAAGGGTTGGAAAAGAAAAAGAAAAAAAAGATTAGAACGCAACAAGAAGAGTAACTTTCTCACATAGACTTTACAACATATATATTTATATATACATATGTATACAATTTACTGCTATATGTACCTGGGAAAAATGCACTTTTGACAGCAAACTGATGCACAGTTGTCTCCTCAAGACCAGTGTATTAGGACTGCCTCTGTTCTCATGTAATATTGTTCTTACCTCAGTTGTTCTATTAAAAGCCAACATCCTCACACCCATTAGAAACACATTCAGAAATATTTGTCTCCAGTGGCCTTAACACACTTTCATGACAGTCCCTGCAGACAGTTTCTCAGTGAACGTGCAGAAAAGTGCCCACATGGCTTCATGCCCATCTGTTGCTGTTCTGGGCATTCTGAGATTTCATGGAGAATGCTTGTGGGTAGATTCACCAAGGCACTTCATAGAATCACAGAACATCCCGAATTAGAAGGGACCTACAAGGATCACTGAGCCCAACCCCTGGCTCCACACAGGACCACCCTATATCTGAGAGCATTGTCCAAACACTCCTTCACTCCAACAGCTCAGGACCATGCCCACTCCCTTGGGCCTTGTTGCTGTCTCAGGGAGCAGAGCTCAGAGCTGCCTCTCCGCTCCCTGTGAGGAACTGGTGCTTGAAAGATGGCCAAGTGCTGTAATGGCTCTAACTCTGCAATACAGTTTGTCACTGTGGCCTGAACACCCTGAGAGTTCCCTGCTGCTGAGCAGGGGAAGACATGCAGCTTGCTCAGCTCACAGAAAAACAGCCAGACCTTTTGTTTTCTTCTAGGTCTGGGTCACTGAACAGGGTTGGCTCTGGGAAATAGAAAAAGCACTGGAGGTGGCACAAAGGAGAGGTGGGGAAGGCAGAGAGGTGGAAGGCCTGGCAGCCAAAACCTGTCTTAGACTTGTTATTAAATCATGCCCTCAGACTCGGCTATGCAACCCCGCTGGTGAGGATGTTTAGTAGTAGTTTCTTCATTAAAGTTCAGTGCAGGAAAAAATTCAGTACACAGGATGAACCTCTTTAGAAAAAGCAAGCAGAAAAATTCTTAAAAATTACTTGGTGTAATAGCTAGGAGAATATATTTTTTATTATTATTTTACTTGGAAGTTACCACAGCCAACAGTGATTGGCTGTCTATAGCATTATTAACCCTGAGTTGACTGAAGGGACAATTCTGCAGAGTGAGACCAAAAATCCACAGCTGCTATAGATCATATGCAGCTACTCTGGATTATTTGGCAGCACTGTGGGTTTTGTTTAATGTAAATATACTTCAGGGAACTAAACCAGAAAAACATAGAATTTCATTTTGTCACAGAATGTAGACTATCTCCCTATTGTCATACCTGCACAGCTGTGAGATGTTCTCGACTCAGATACAAATCTCTTGAGGCAGTTCTCACAGCTCCAAAATCTAAAGATCTCAAAGTGCTCCCTTCTCAAGCCACATTCTCTCCATTAACATTGCCATTGAGTTAGCAGCATCTTACTGAAACGTGCAGAAAGAAAACTGCGTATAAGCCTGAGCTTACCTGAATAATATGTTAGAAGTGCAGAAATTCATTAGTCTGTTAAATAATGCTTCTGAAACTTAGCTAGCAATCAGATATCTGAACATTTCTAAGCACTGTATGGTCTTTCATGTTTCAAGAACATCTATCCCAGACTAGACAGATTTCAGTTTAAGGGTTATTTCTTCTTTTAAAAAAATGAGGATGATGAAAGATTGGTCTATTGTAGTGGCAATGCTTAGTCATGACCTGTACCAGTGACTGAGAACCTGGTGGGAAGGTAGGACGAACCCAGTGGAGCTCAGGTGTATGCAATGCACCTGAGTGACAAGAAAGGGTGGATCCTGGATCCCCGACTTCATTTAAGGGTTGGCAGTAGAGGCAAGGGTATTTTGTTAGAGATCCCTGTGTACAGGTCTTCAGAAGGTAAGCAGTTTCTTTCCTTTGTTTCTATATCCCCAGCTGTTGTATTTGAGCAAGCCCTCACTTGCTGTAGCCTATGATCTTGCTTCTCTGCCATCACTGCTGTGCTTTCTATCACATTACAGCCTATTCATAAGTTATTTTAGGTTTCCTTGAGGGAATGCTCACACTAGATACTAAACTATGTACATCACAATGAAACAATGGCCTTTATGTTTTAGGAATATTTTAATTAAAAAAGAATCTTAAATAATGTCAAGAAACATACTGTTTCTAATTATAATGCACGTAGGAAGAAATATAGCAACTTTGTAAAGCATATGTAAAACTGGACTTTCACAATCTTATCTTTTTTTTTTCCACTTAGTTTCACTAGCTTTTCAAGGTATTGAAAATATTTTTAGGTGTCAGTTTAAAATTGTTTATGACAAATACTGTGTGCCATAGTGCACATATATTGTATCACATTTCCATTTCTTTAGAATTCTCATTTTATTTCTCATGAAGGTTCACAAATCTTCAGTTTTATTAAAGTTTATATAACTTTTAAGCAGTGGAATTCAAAATAATAGTGAAAAATATGGAAAGGGAAAATAAACCAAACCACCTTAAGAAAGAGGGGAAAAAAGAGCAGCATGTTAGGGAATTTGGAGAGAGTAACTGTGTCATTAAAAAGAAGCTGAGAGAGATTTAAGTTGCATATTTGGTTAGTTACTATGGCTCTTTGCAGTCTTCCAAAGGGAAAACTTTGGCCATGGAGAATTAAATCTGAGACTAAATATTTCATGTAGTGGCTTGGACAGCAGACACAAAAATCTACATATACATCAGTTCATTATAGCTCTTACTGTCAGCATCATATTCCCTGCTTTCCAAATATTAGGAACTATAGGCCTCACTGGCAAAAATCTACTGTAAAAACCTCCAAAGCTCAATATCCAGAGAGCTTTTTGAGTTGACATACAATAACACTCCAACATGAAATTCCTATTTATGAAATAATGGCTACTTGATTAACTTTCTCACAGTTACAAAGAAAACAGTTGACATAAAAGAAGCTGCTGCTTCTGATAATGATTAAGGAACATTGTTTAGGGAATCTGACTGGTAATCAATGTCAAGTGATGGTTGTCCCAATGATGGTACAAACAAAAACAAAGAAATTCTGCAGAAAGTATTCTGGCATGAAGTCCAATGTGAATGTGAAATACTAAGATACTCAAAGTACAGAGGGAAGTGTCTGCACGATGGAAAACACCATGGTTAATGAAGATAGTTCTACATGCATGAGTCTGACACTAAAAGTGCTCAGCATGTGTAGAACACAGACATCTAGTCCAGATATCTGAAATATGGCACACAACTACATGGCTACACTGCATAATGCAGTGTGTATGGGAACTGCTGAATCATGGCCTGAACCTCTGATTGATCACCTGAGGTGAGCAATGAGTCAGCCCTGGGAGCACAGGTGAAGGCAATTCATCTGTGTTGCTGAAAGGGGTGAAGCCTGGCTCTACCTCTCCTAGACCCATTTAAGAGCTGACTACCAGTGGGGAAGGATCTCCTTTGGAGTTTTACAGTGAGCCCAGGATATGGGTAAGCATTCTATCTATTCTCTTTTGGTGTAATAACTGCTTAGCCAAACTCTCTGGTGTATTTCATAATTATAACATCTGTACATTCATTGATTATACAATAGTGCCTTACAAGAACCAGCTCCAGAAGAGATGATATAACATAGTGCAATGGATATAAATATACCAGCTTGAGTCCTCCCAAAATGAGCTCTGTTGTATTGCATGCTTTTAGGGAGTGAGTTAGCTTTGGAGGGAAAAGTATCCATCTGGTGCAGATGTCACTCTGAGACCTGCACCAGTTTACTTCTACATCTGAACTCCTGGAGGTGTAGCTTCACACAACGGTACAGCAAGATGTTCTGGACCTAGGAATACTATCTTGGTACACTGGTAAAAGTAAATACGGAATATAAAACAAAAAAATGATGTTGATATGTTCTTAAAGAAAAGCAGCCCTAGAAGGGACAAAAAAAAAAAAAAGTACCCCATCTCCATTAGAGGCTCAGGCTAATGGAGTTGTCCACACCCTCTCTGCTGACAAAGACCATAAGCACTGAAGTGTCTCTCAGATCAAAATGCTACATTCATTTTCCTTTCTCTCTGCTTTGTCTTTTATTTTTCCTGACTTTGAAAGCAGTCTCTGAAAATGCAAGCGTCAGGTACTTTTTCAGAACATCACTCCCGTGTGCCAAAGATTTTCAGAAAATCCAACAATAACTGCTGCTATGTAACGATCTTTATTTATATTGTGACTTCAGGAAAATCTACACTTTGAAGAGAGATAAGGGCTACACTCATAGGAGCACAAAAGTATCTTTAAAAACTGGTGTTTTTTTTTTAATCCTACTGGTTTTTCTTTTTTTTTTTTTCAACTTAGAACAGTTTTGGAGATCAATAATTTCTCCATTCTGATTCTTTTGGAACCAGTATTAGTGAGCCAGTAGATAAAACTGTACGAAGCATCAATCATTCCATTGTACTTTACCTAAGGCATAAGCACAGAAGGTGGTAAAAGCACTGAACAGCCACACCCAAGTTGGAACACGTCCAGGGCTGGTACCTGAAAAATTGAGCAGTGAGTCAGGAAAGCAGTGGTTGATATCAAAGCACTGCACCAAGACAGACAGATAGACATGAACAAGCTGCCACTGATGAGCCCCCAGTGTTAAAAACAGTGAAATGTTTTGAATGAAATATCAGAAAACTAGTTAACGTTTATGTAAAATCCTAAAAAAAAACAAAAAACAAACAAACAAAAAACCTTAAAACTGCAGTTTTTAAGCTTGATCATTTTTTTGTTAGTGCAAACATGGGTTTTCTTTAGCAGTTTTCCATACAGATTGAACAGGAGACTTTTGCCTAGGTCAAAATAGGTAGCCCTTTTAGTGTAGGTAACCCTTTTGACTAGGTCAGATATTAGTACATTATCTTTTTTCCTTTTGATAAGGTGCCTGATAACTTTTAATGAATACAAAAAAGAAAGCTGAATTGGACTGAACCCAAAGTTCTGTCATTTGTCTGTAACCCAAGGCTGCCTTTGCTCTTTTCGAGAAATCAATGTTTTTTCCAAAGGGTGTTCTATTTAAACTATCTATAACCCAGTATGGGCTACCACAGCAGCCATTCATGTGCAGCCTCCCATCTAGCACCCATGTGAGGCCTGCACCTAGGACTGCAGGGGGCAGCTGGCACCTGAGGCAAGGCCCCTGACCACCTGTCCCTCAGGGCCTTGTCTTGCTAGCAGGAAAGAGAAGATGGCACTTCCTGGCTCTTAGTTGCACATTTTCAAATTACAGAATGAAAGACAGCTGTCCAGGAAATTAAGGCTTTTATTTCTGATCCTGTGCATGAAACTGGTATACGATATTCAAAAGATTCATTGGATTGCATGAGCATTTTCAATTCAGAAATGATGGGTGCTGTTCTCCTGCGAAGCTAAGAGCAGGCCTGCAAACTGCACACAGAAGAACAAACTTTGTCACAAATCCTTCATGTTTAGTATGTATCCGCCCAATGCAATTATCCTGTCAAAAGTTCTGTGCTGGATTCTCTACTATTACAGAACTTGGTAATTATCTGCTTCACTGATTGAAAAGCAAATGCTGAAGTATGAGTATAGGCAACCCATGCTTCATGACACCTCAGAATTTGATGTTCATCCAGGATTATTTTTGTACTAAAACTGCTAGCACATCACTCTTCCCACAGAACTGTTGTAATAAACATACTACAAGAGACTACCTCATAAAATCCAACCACAGGCATAGGAAATTAAAAGTGATTTAAAAAATCAAATGCAGTTATTTCGGAACCTGAAGTGCTAAACTTTCCCCAGGTTGTCTAGTTTAAAGAAAAGTAAACATTTTTATACATCAGTTACCTGGGAGAAGCTTGCTACTGGCTGTAGGCTCCTTTTTTCAACAACCGATCTGAGAAGACCAGAACTGAGCAATGCCTACTCTCAGGAGCAACTCCAAAGAACTTTGAACTTGGACTCTCATAAGGAGAAAATAGAGATTTGGACTTGGAGTGAGAGAATTTCAGGATATGTTTGTTTAGAAACTTTTTGGGGGGGTCTAGAATAGTGGAAGGATGTAATAATGGAAGGGGAATTAATGCACTCATGGCATGGATTCAGGTATTAGGAAATGTGAAACCAATCAAAACTTTATGAAGAATGTTAGGCTGTTCTTTGAGTGTTCATTAAAATCCTGGCATGCACTTTAAATAAAATGAGATATTATCATAGAGTTCAAACAGCACATGCTGAAACCTATATTTAGGGATGAAATTAAGTTTTTCCAATAAAAGTGATCTAAATCTATAATGCCATACGTGAGGTCAGACCCTACTACGTTATGGGAATGAGAGGAAGATTCTGGTATCTGTTCCCCCTGTAACATCAAAGTGTGATATAAGCAACTCTGTAATTCTGAAAAAAATTACAGTGTGAGGATATTTACCTGAAGCAGTGTAGTCCCAGTCATAAAAAGATATTAGAAAATAGTTAATTAAAATCATGACAAATCCAGAAAAGGTGAGCAGGTTTGGAGCAATCCACAAAGGCACTATCTGTTAAAGAGAAAAAGAGAAATCTAAGAAATTGGGTTTCAAATTAAAAGTCCTATTTTGATGAAATGTTTTGTGTTTTCATCAGGAGATGAGAAGCCTGTAAACAACATGAGTAATATTTAGATTTGTGCATGTTTTTCCATTTTGAATTTACAATTCAATTTTTGTTTCTGAAGCAATTTATCTTCAAGTGTCATCATTGTGCCTGATCTTCGAGACTGCAGTGAAAGCTTAATGTAAAATGTTGTATTTTCTCAATTACACGCTCTCCTTGTTTTCTCCAACACAAGGGAAAGCTTCTCTTTGCTCTGTATACTATAAATGAAAGAGGCCTGCAGCACCCCAGTGTGGCAATTCAGCATCAACGTGGCAGGGTTTTGTCAGGCTTCCTACTTCCAACTGAAGCAAGGAAATCTCTTCTGTAGTATGCTAATAATTCCCAACTCAGAATAGCAACAAAATCAGAAGAACTCTGTATTACAAATAGCTCCCTACTTCTCCAGACAGTAACTTTCTGCAGGGTCTCCATCTTTAGCTATAAATTATAAACGTTACATTAATTCTTTTTACTTTGTGGAATGCAGAAACAGACTGCCTCCTCCTAAGTTTGTAATTCTTTGTCCCATTAACCCTTTTCAACCATTCATCTCCTGTGGCTTTAAGGTATTCTTTATGCTGCCATAGGGGTAATGTTCTTTCCAAGTTGCCCATTTGCTTCAAAATGTTTTCTGAACAACATACACAGCTTCCTACCTTATTTTTAGACAGAAAACATGTGCACAAATATTGTTCAAATAGCAGCCGCTGATGTATGCAAAATATAAAAATACTGGAGGATTATAATCAAATCCTCTAGACTGCTTTAGGACTGGAAATGTATATGAAGATGGACTTAAACACTGTAACGTATTAGAAAACAGTATAAATATTGTGGAAAAAGGAGTAGAATAATTTCATACACTAATATTGTTTTTAAATCCAACTTATTATTTTGTTTGGAATAGGTAAACAAACAGATGGATAAATAGATATCAATTTATACACATTTTATATTTCCTCTATCCTAAAAATTGTATATAAAAATAAGAATGTTGGACAGGTTAATCATTATGATTAGATCCTTGCTTTGCTAGTACTGTACAACTGAGGAATAATATTCCAGATAATCAGTACAGCTGATAATGTGCACTGTAAACTCAAAACTCAGATGAAATTTTCTGAATACTTTTCAACTATATATCTTCATTGCTTTATTTAATAACGTTGGAAAAAATATTAAATGTGATAGCTGCATTCTTTACTACTAGGATTTTGTCACTAATTTTAAAATACTGTGTGCCAGATCTTAAAGTAATTGAAGTACATAATGTAATGCACTCAGTTGCTACGCAGATGTATGCTTATATCATTCTGAATTTCTGAAACCCCAATTCTAAATCCCTCAGAACAATTGACGGCAAATGTTTGCTGAAGTTCCTCTCAGGGAACTCCTGAGGAAGAGTAAAGCAGCTGCATGCTCTGGATGTAGTGACAGACCTCACCTCCTTCTTTCTGTACAGGGGATGCAGAACCATCACAAAAATCACGAAAGCCCTAAGACCACCTAGTCCAACCATCAACCCACCCTCACCATGCCCACTAACCACATCCCTCAGTGCCACATCCACGTGGTTCATGAATGCCTCCAGGATGATGACTCCACCCCTCACTGGGCAGACTGTGCCACTGCCTCATTGCTCTTTCTGAGAAGAAATTTTTCCTAATATCCAACCTGAACCTCCCCTGATGCAACTTCAGGCCATTTTCTCTCATCCTATTGAAACTTACTAAGATAGAGATTTTGGTACAAATTTGGTACAAATACAAACTGTATTTTAGGGATTGCATGCTGTTACAGGTACGTACAATCCTTTGGCTAGCAGACATGTAATGAAAAATAGTTACAGGAGCTCTGTCCTTAGGAAAAGATCTCTTCCCCTGATTACCGTCACTGTTTTAATCCTTTACTGACCTAAACTGTCCACGTATTTGGAAAATATTCCAGGTGCAAAATCTCTTTTGTTGTATTCAATGTCCCTTATTCTTTTGTCAAGCATTACACTACCATTGTTCTATTTCATAAATTGTAAATTAAAGGGTAGTAAAGAATAACTTCTCAAACACATTGGAAAAACAAAGCCTCACTTCACTAGCACCGTAGTATACTAATTAAGGACACCTTTGAATCTTTACTGTCTAATTAACAGACAGTAGAAAGCTAACATATCCACGCACTACATGATTAATACAGCTGGAGGCTCCACTGGGAAGAATCACATCTGCTCTCTTGCAAAACCATTCCACACTTCAACCTTTTAAGAAACCTACTTCTACAAAATACTGATGCCTGTTTTAAGGGGCCCACAGTCACTCGTGCTAAAATCCTTAATACAAACAACAAATATTTTAATACAATCAATTGCCTATTTGGATAATGAATTGTGAAGTACCTGTATTTCTACAAGGCTCTGTTCAAACGAGATATTCCTTAAGTAGGTCACCTGAGACCACTAAAATTCAACTCATGCGCAGTTCTAATGATAAAATCAAAGTTCATAAAGGGACCTGGGGAGGTGGTTAATTGACTTCAGTGGAGATGGCATACACCTGTGTATCCTAGTGGGACTTCCTCCTTTTATTGTTCCCCCACAGACATGACTCCTCATGAATACAAACGCAGAAAGAAGAGTGTAGTAGCCAAGTAATGCTGCCTGTTATCTGCCAGATAGCATGTGATGGTTATTTATTATAAAACACAAAGCTTAATTAAAGGCATAAGAATCATGCAATGGATTAAATAATTCCTAATAAGAAATTTCTATAGTTGCATAATCAAAATAATTTTAAATAACATGTAGAAAAAGTTAATTGTTAATCTATAGTTTCACACAGGTCATACTGTTGCTTTATGTGTGGTGGAAAAGCTGCTACAGGCAGCAATCGACAGGCGTTGGTTCTGCACTCCTACCTCCCACTTTCAGCCCTGTGCTCAGCTTTGGTTTCTATTCTGAACAAAATCATGCTCAGCTAGCATACAAGGAGGTTGAAGGTATCTGAAGAGGTCAAACTTTTCAAAGGACCTATCACCCTGTGCTCAGTGGGTATGACAAACAATGCACTGCTTTCCTTCCAGGAAAACTCCCATGGCAGGATGATTGGAACTAGATGATCTTTGAGGTCCCTCCTGACCCAAGCCATTCTATGATTCTGTGATTCTATTATTCTAAAACTCTGCAGCTGCCAGAAGAACTCAACCCCAAGGGTGGTTTACTTCTGTGGTGCTCTTCTTTCAGTCTGACAGCAGTGGAATGCCCGTGGATCCCTCAGAACACAGAGCAGACATGCAGCAAAGCCTCTGTTCGTCTCCTGCATGGGACTAAGAGTGGGGCAGTGTCTGCCTCGCTGTTCATCCCCACAGTATGATGGAAATGAAAACAAATCTCTCATAACTGAATCACTGAATTTAGTTTCCTGTCTTGGAATTTCTTTCGTATCAGCTCCAGTTATTTTGTAATTCTGAAGTTAGGATGTACAAACTGTTTTCTAAAATTACATTGAGGTAATGTGCAAGAGATTACAATTTTCTGCTGTATCGAGCATAAGCAACAGCTGGATTATAAAATCCAAATATGGCAGATTCTGACCACATGCATACATTTTCTTGCATATACATTTCCTTTCAAGTCTACTCCAATCCAAAGATTTCCATTTCAGAGACAGATGCAGCAGTCTCTGCTTCCTTGAAGATCAATAAAGTTTACGATTATTGAGATCCAACCTCTGCTTTTGCCAACAACAGCAAAACTAATTGTGAGCGGCTTTATATTTAAGAACTGAAGATCATAATGCATTCAAGAGATGCCATCTCCCAATCGTTACGGTGATCATGGTAACTGCTCTCATTTTCAGCTTCTTAGAGTAACGTCTGGCTCCCTGGAGCAAGTACCCAGGGGAGAAAATGAGACAGCACTTGCATAAAATCACTTGCACAGCAGAGATTCAGTCACGCTGTTGTTAGGTGGCATATGCTGAACAAAAATAATGTGTACTACTTAAACCCTATAATGTCTGCAAAGCTGTTTAATGAAAGATGTAACAAAACCTGATGATTTTTGCATAATGGTAAAGAAAAAGATACAGCTCTTGCTTTTCTAAAAAAAAAACACTTCTAAATCCAAACATATTCATCCTTAATATAGCTATATGTCCAGTAATGTGGATTCTTTCATATACATGTCCTAATTTCAGCTTTACTGATCAATATGTATCCTTAAATGAAAATACTTCTTGTATTTAAAACAAATTCTTTCATTATTCGTGATATTTCTATTTAATAAGACTCTTACCTTAATGATTTTGTTCCAGATGGGCTGCATAACATACACTGATAAAGGATTTGTATCCACAGCACTGTACTGTGAGGAAAAAAGCAAAGATGTAAAACAAAGCACTGAACAATACATATGTTTCCATCCATCACTGGATACCATTCAGCATCTAAGAAAAATAGTTCTGGGTGTGACTGGTGCAACTTTATTTTATACTGATGAGCCCTCTTACAGCTTGAATTTAGTTTGAAAACACTGACCTAGTTTATGTTTATCTTTCAGGTATCTCCATGTTGAAACAGAAAGGCTTGGGCTGATGAAATAGCGAAGAGTTCTATAGTCACATTTTACTTTTAAACTCTTCATCATTTGACAAGCTGTCCTATAAGACTCTGCATTTGTAATGTATTTTTGGTTTAATATCTTTTGATTGATAATTATGGAGCTCATAAACAGGAGGGAGAACAACTTTTTACGTGGTCAGATAGTGATAGGACGGGGGGAACGTCTTTAAGCTGAAAGAGGGGAGATTTACGTTAGATGCTAGCAAGAAATATTTCACTCAGAGGGCAGTGAGCTGCTGGCACAGCTGCCCAGAGAAGCTGTCCCATCCCTGGAGGCACTCATGGCCAGGTTGGATGGGCCTTGGGTAGCTGAGCTGCTGAGGGGCAGCCCTGCACGTGGCAGGGGGCTGGAGCTGGATGGATTTAAGGTCCCTTCCAACCAAACCATTCTGTGATTCCATAACATTACCACTCCCTACAAAATTCTCAAGCACTTTTCACAGTGGAGGAAGTTAGTAGTCATGACGGTGAATGTGTAAGTCTTCCAGAAATTCATGGACTTTGGAAGGCCATATACACGGGGTATGCAGTTAGCATGATGTATGAGATTTGCAAAAAGATTCACATGTATCTATAAGCAGCTTTGTTAAACATTGTATGAGGGCAGTGAGGGTGACTCATTAGACCATAACTTCATGAAGGCATTCGCATGCAAAGAAGTTAACGATGGAAAGGTTTTCATTTCACCTAGCTTTAACTAATAGCTAGTTGCACATTCTCTCTATAGCTCATTTTTCTACCTGTCTAAGCCAACTATGCTCAGGATGAGCCCACGTTCTGGATGCACCTGTTTCAATTCATTAATTCTCAAAGGAGCCTAGACACTTACTTTAAATTTAGGCACCTTTTAGGTGACAGAGGTCTGGCAATATTCATCTCCATCTCAGTATCCTCACTTTCTAAGCCTTAATACACACACTTAACCCACACATCTGAGCTGTCAAAGAGCTTTCAATGCATAAGTGCAAGCAGGAAAAAAGATTTGTGCAGCATGGCTCCTTTTTTAAGTGCACAATCCAGACTTCTAGTCCAATCTTTCTGAGCACCTGAGGCTACAAAGGGCTTTACCACATTTCCTTTTTCTATCTGCATACGAAGGATATATTTTAATTACTTTCTGGACAATGCAGAACATGTACTTAATTATTTTAAAATTTGCGGTTCTTTATCACAGACAATAAATGTAGAGCACTTGTAAAATTATTAGAACACAGCTACGCGTTGTGAATGCAGAAGGGTAAGTATCTATCAGGTGCTGGTCAGACAGGGCAGAATAACTTTCTACTGGGAATAAAATGTACAGTTTAATGAAGTGTACATCACTGATTTTTTTTCTAAAATTATGTAAAGAGGTGTTGGTTATGCCTAGCATTTTTCTCTGCCGCTTCCAACCATGAAGAATAAGAAATGAGAGGCATATTGTAGTTCATGGCCAATGACCCTTCTAGACATGCACACAGTGAGAGAAAACATAAAGCTAACAAAAAAAAAAAAAAGGTTTATTTGACATATTATTAATCAGTTTTTAATTACACCCCAGTCTTCCAGTTCCAGAGAATTCTAACATCAACAGCTTCTTTTTTTTTTTTTTTTTTTTTTTTTTTTTTTTTTGTCAAAATATATATATTAAAATTCATAAAAACATTACATTTGCAAAATTACTTTACAGGTTAAACTGAGTTTTTACTGTTATGTATGATCTGGAGCTCCACATACAGTGTTTTATATTGTATCTTTCAAACCTTTGTTATTACGACTGATTGATCTTTTGATAGTACACGCAGCCTAGCCTCAACTAGCCATGCACTTTGCCTATATTAACACCAAAAATGACAGCAATGCAAAGCCATAAAATCCTTATGCTAATAGAATAGTCAGGTGGTGATTAATTCAGACCAGAATGGAGGAAATCCTCTGAAAACAGGGGGAAAAAAATCAAACTATTCATTAGCACTATTGAGGCACATCCTTATTACAGATGTTATTCAAAGACTACTTGAGGTATGTGACAACTTACTGACCAGCAGGCTCTGTTAATTCAAACATGCCTAGATAAGAAGGCACAGTATGTCACCTCAGCTCCTGGTCCTTCTGTTTTGACTTTCTCCTCCTCACCTCAGCCCTTCAAAGCCAAGAATAACATCATACAATCCTTGCTAAGTAACAGCAGCAAAATGAGGCATTCTACCCAGGTGTGCACTGGCTTTCCTGAACAACTACTTGTTCCCAGGAGGAGATTAGGAAAAATAGTCTCATTTATTTGGAACTATTTTCTTGCTCTTACATAGATATACTTTGGAAAACACACGACACGGTGAAATTTTTGTTTGCTTGATGGTTTCCAAAGTCAAGTAAACAAAAAATCAAAATAATCTTTGTTTGTTACTAAAAAAACATGAGGATTACGACCAGGTTATATCACCTAGAGACATTCCAAAAACCCTCACACTGATCCTCCTTCCATCTGCAGATGAGTCCTCTGGGAAGGAAAAGAGCATTAAGGAGATGTGAAGAAGAACAGAAAATTGCTCTTCCCTCATTCAGTAATTTCTTCTAGTCAGATGAAAGGAAATGCACATGGAAAAAAATATGCTCAAGTTTTCTCTCATGGCAAAACTAATACTTAAATAAAATCTGCTATATAGTTTAACACTCTGCTTCAAAGAAGCTACTAACCTCAAAGTCATTAAATCCTCAGAAGTTTAATGTTTGCAGCTTCTCAGAAAAGCAAATTACTTGGTAAAACATCCATATTATAATGAATGAACATTAACATGAGAGTGCAACAGAACTTCATTTGAAAATAGTACTGCAATTTGCTATTGCATAACTCTGCCATTTTCTGGGCACACACTTGCACTAAAAGACCAAAGTGGAGGACAAGGCTGCTGGAGGTGTTTAAGTGGGAGGACGAGGTAAGTACTAAGCACTCCCCAGCAACCCCTTCCTGCACTAGATAAAGGGTCCTGGTTGTCCTTTTACTTATATTAAGAAGAAGGACTTGGAATTATTAGAAAGTTTTACTAATTATTACATAAAGAAAGCTGCAATAGTTGGGAGGAAATGGCAGTAGGAGGAGAACAGGAAAGTGGTATTATCCATCTCCATCTCCTAGGCTGTGTATAATAAGCAGAAATGCTTACTGTGTATTTTAAAATAGCTGATATCCCCTTGAAAGATAGCTGCTTTCCCTCTCAGTGTTAGGAATGGCTTCTGTCAGAGCTAGAAGCAAGGACAATACAAACAGCAGGCAGGATGCACAGACAGCAATGCACACAGACACACATGTGTGTACAACATGTGTAAGATTGCTCTCACTGAGCTCCTGCAGGCTGACCTCTGCTCAGCACAGCATCGAGACCTAGGTGTTCAGGGGATCAGGTGAGGGAATGGAGGTTTGAACAGTAGGAAATGTAAGAGTATGTAAAGGAAAGTAAGCAGGAAAAATGAGAGAAAAGACAATGAGTAGAAGCAAAGTTAGGTAACACAGAAGAAAGAAGAGATGGGCAAACAGGAGACAACCTGCCCAGAACAGAAGAGGCAGATCATCAGCGGGTCAAAAGCAGCCTCCATGACCAAGGTCTGCACTGCTGAGCACAAGACAAACTTCACCTTCTGGCTGTCATCCATACAGCTTAGCAGTGCCTCCAGCTGTTACCAGCTGGTCACCTCCACACCTCACCACACTTGGTGGAGGGGTCTGAGGCCTTGTTATCTGTAGAGCTCATACTTCATTAGCATTGAGTCTGTTTCAGTACTACAGGATCTGAAGCAACCTGGAGACTAAGTTGTAACACAGAGTGAACCTTCGAGGATACAAATGTGCAGATTGGGATAGGGATGAAGAATTGTGAAAGCAGTGTAATGGTGCACAACACCTACAGGATGGACTATTTCCAAAACAAAATCTTACTACAGCCTTGCAGAGAATATGGAAAAGAAAAGAGAAGGAGGGAGTGAGCTAACCATTAATCAGAGCAGAGAGCTGGATCTTCTCTTGGCTTCCTGGCCCCCTCCAGCACTGCACTACAGAAGAATAGAATTTGAAATGAAGAGAACATAAAGCATGCCTACACAAACTTCAGAGTCAGGAAAAAAAGTAAGCTGAAGACATATAGCTGTTTTTACTGCAGGGAGATAGTTACTTCAGTTCAAGCTGGTCTTTAAGCTAACAGACAAATTATATTACTCCAGATTGCACCATACTGTGCAATACAGCCACATCTATTCAGAGATACAAAGCAAAACTGTAGTGAACTGTTTACATTTGAATTGCTAGCATCATCATGACTCCATAGGTATTGATTTCATCTTAACAGCAACAAATATTCTATGGTTTACCTTCTTGACTGCAAATCACCAGCTTCAACCTGTTCATTAAAACATGTAATAATTTTGTGATTTATCACAAGTCTTATTATCCCCAATGGACATTTTGCAAAACAGAGGCACAGATGAGCAGTGATTCACTCTAAGAGTATCTTGCAAAGGGTACAGACACAATATTATTAGAAGGATCATGTTTACAGACACCATTTAATTATAAACAATACCAGTACCAGTATTCAAATAAGTCACCCAAATTAGCTCAACTTTGTACTTGAACTCACTTTTGCAGAAGGAAATAAATAAATACATCCAGAATGAAAAGGCTGCAAAACTATTTCCCAGGCAAGCTAACATTTAAAACAATTAAATATCAGGGAGCAATCATGGTTTAGATAGCAATATATTGAATACGTG